ACCATGAATAGAAGTGCTACATGGCGGAAAAGGGCGGACACCACCAGCGACACAAAGGGCGGACACATCTTAAGAAAGAATTGAGAACCCCTAACAGTAAACTGTTTGAGGAAAAATTGTATATACGTTTTAACGGCAATGTGATTCACATTCGTTGAGCTGTACAGCAAGATGCGCACCATTCATGTTGAGTTGCGGTTGAAACCTTCAAGGAAAATGCATGCAGAGAGTCCTGGGCTTAGATTCAGACGTGGATGCAATGATGATATGTGTTGATGAGCCATTGAGGCTTGTTGGTGGAGGCAAACGACGAGATATAGCTCAAGTGGAGGCACGAAAGAGTGGTGTGTTTGGAAAAAAGTGGATGGACTTTGTTGGCGGTGTTCTATTTTTTAAACGGCTCTCTATTGTGAGGTGAACATGGGAACTTTGGCCAATCGCCTTGACAAGTTGGACCACAAGTTTGGACTCATTGAGCGGGAGGCCTTGTGCCACACCAAACATCGAACCTTTTTTTTTGAGTCTCAAACATGTTCACGGCAGTTGAGTATTTCTACCACAAACGCGCTTACCTTTTTGGTCACGAGGAAAGCATTACACTTACGAGGTTGTCCATTCAACGTCCAAGAGCAAAAGTCTTGTCGCGCTGCCACAGTGGGGAAAAGTGGCAGGCTTGTGATCCAAATGGAAAAAACAAATACACAAAAGAAGGGGACATCTTGCCAAATTTAGGGTTAATTAAAGGGTACGTGCTCAAACCAGAAAAGACACATTGCGTGGTTCTGATGCTCTCCTTGCAGGTGGCCGCAATAGCAGCTATGACAGAGGAATTTGTGCACAACACAGCCTCAGATCTCAGTTTTGGCTGCTGACAAACCTGTGTGGATCTATGCCGCTACACCAAGGTTAGACATTTGACAGGACACGATCCCACACGAGCCAAGCGGCAGGATCCTTTGTTGAGTTCATGTCACTTTGCCCAATGGCCCAATGAGCGGTTGTACACTTTGCTCAGGTCGGATTCGAGAAGCACGTCCACAGCATCAAGTGAGTTGTGAATTGCGAATGCTTTGTTTTGAAAGCACATACGAGGCTCTCTTCGCTTGTTCGAGGCCCTCAAACTGGAGTCTCGTGCTGCCTTCTGTATTTCGACTCGTGAAAGCTTGCCTGAGAAGTTGATCCTGACAATCTTGATAGTTCAGAGAAGTTCCACAGTCAAAGTCAAAGGGGCTCAAGTTCCTGAGCTCATTGAGCTCTCAAACGTTCACCACGGAGAAAGGACACATGTTGTGGAGCTCAAAAGAACGGTGTAAAGCTAGAAGAGTAAACTGTGCACCAGAGTAAATTGCAGGTCGTGTTCATTGAGGGGGGAAGTGGTAGCCAGTAGTAGCATGTAATAGCTAAATTAGCTAAGTGGTAAGCTTAAGCTAGCTAGTAGCAAAGACGCAGACGACCCCTTGCTGCGAAAAACGCTCTCCAGAAAAACATTTAGTAATGGTCAACAAACAGCAGCTGAACAGCTGATGGACAGCGACAAAGGCAGTCAGCAACGAAGCAGTCGAGCAGCATTTGTCAAGCAAAGTCTGCAGTGTGTCCAACCCAAACTGCAAAGTTGGGCCAGCTTTCCATTACTCACATCCTAAAGGGACCGTTTCACCTGCCTCACAATGTCGAGTTGTCTGCAAGAGATTTGAGTAGACTATGAGGCTGATAAAAGACACACCCAGTGTGGTTTTAGGGCCGCGAAGGGACTGAAAGGCGAAGGTCAAGATGCAAAGAAGACCTTTCTGCGTAGGAGCTCAAGTCCCAGCTTTGCCGAGCAGAATCTCATTTGCGTCGACTTTCACCGCACGCTGTGTTTGTTGCTTGGGAATCGAAGCAGGTTGCATCCTTTGCCTTAACAAGACTGAGGTTTCAACTTCGTTCCTACCTGGAAAAGCATTTTCGGGAACCAGGCGGGGAAACATATATGTTTCATGAGCTCAGCTGCAACAGATTTTCAGGCTTGGCAATGCAGTTGCAGGAGGGGCATCCCACCACACTCCTTTTCTATATAGGTAGTGTGAATGATCCTTGCGAATGATTTTAATGTCGAGTGTTTTTTGGCAAGGGTGCCTTGGGTGAAATTGAGGGCAGCTTGCTTGCTACAGGAGCCCATAGTGCGGCTTCTCCAATGTCTCTTTGCTGTCTTCAAGATGGAGGTCGTCCATGGACGTATATGCTGTACTTGTCCGGACTCTGTGTGCGATCACGCTGCCAACAGGTTTCGTCATTCACCGCAGAAGCCATGCTCAGCGGAGTGCGCAAATTATTCCGAGACCCACACAGGCAGAGCTCAATCAGGTTCCAGGTTCCAGTTCGAGTCAGTTCGACGACTTTCACTTCTTGGCGTGAGCAAGCTTTTGATTGAAAAAATACTTGCATCAAACTCTTTGTCATGTGCTGGACCTTATGATAAAGCACAATCACGTCAAGCCTTCAAACCCTTTATATACACGGAGTAAATGATTCTACATCCACATGCACCTTATCACCAAAACTCATATCAAACATAGAAAACGATAGGTCCGATAGATCTTCGACTTTTCCTCTACGACATTGTGTTGCGCCCAATAACAGCTCAGAAGAGGAACAATTGAAACCAACAATTGGCAACACCGAAATGAAAGAAGCCCCCCTAATGAATAGCACGTTGTTGGATTATTTTCCAAACGGAAAAGCAGAAGCTGGGATTCAATGTCCAATCAAACTAGCATTCCGCACTCGAGTCTTTTTTCAATTAGTGAAGTACTTATTGATGAATACTATATGTCTTTTATCACTAGCCCACCAGAGCTGAGTTCTTGCGCTCAAGAAAACATTTGGCCCGAGCGCATGCAAATCGCTTGGGTCCTCGACTTCCTCAGAGAAGTCAGGTACTTGTGGCCCCAAGCTATGTGTGGTGGGTCAACGTGGTCCTTGCTGTTTTTGAGTGCCTTGCTGGCTTTTCTGGGAGGCTTCATCAGTGGTGGTGCCTTGGTGATTTTGTGGGTCTCTCCCTCGTGCAGGAGAGGCATACAGCTGTTGATCACTGCTGGACTCTCGAGGAGGACCACCAACCTGAGTTGCGCCTTAGGCAGAGGTTCAGACAGTATAGGGAGGACCGTGCATGAACTTGGAGTCCAACCTGGACGAGGTCACCTTGGCCCTCGGTGGACTGACCATCACTGTTTCTCGCACTGGGACTCGGACAGGTGAACCTGCTCAGAGTACAGATCTCGCAAGCCTCATCTCTGCTAGCGTCGTGGAAGCTCCCCCAGCATCCGGTGCCTTTGCAGGCCTTATTGAGGCCACCAGTTCGGCGCCAGTTGCCTGCTACTCAGGTGCAGCCCCTTCAGGACCTCCAGCACCGCTTCAACAGAGGACACGCGCCTGGCAAGAGGCGCTCTTGGCTGCGGACACTCCACAGGAGATTGAGGCCTTGGACTCTTGGACTGTCCGACACTTGGCAGGCTCGAGGTGGTTGGACTCCATTGGCCAGACTTGGCCGAGCTTTGAGATTGGGACTCGTGGCTCGGGCTCAGATTCATTTTGAGAGGATCTCTTCGATCACTAGACTGACGAGCCCCTGGCGAGTCGGGAAGACGCACCATGAAACCGCCGGCCTTGAAGACGCCCCTGCTTCCCGTTCATCCCCGACTCAGCGCGTGAGAAGATTCAGTGCGTTGAGTTTTTTCTCGCAAGTTTGAAAGTGGCTGATCAGCGTGGGGCCTATGCATCGTTTGCTCGCCTTAGCCGACAGCCTTTCCGCGTCGTTGATGGACCAGCCAGTGCAGGCCTCCACCAGAGGTCCGGAAGAGACCGCGCGAGTTGCCAGAAGGGGTCCGATCCGTGGCCATGTCCCCCCCTCTGTTGGGGTAGATGGAAGAGCCAAGGCCTACACCGTGCAGTCACAAGATCCAGAGCGTGCGCAGGTAGGCTTTCCTATGACGACAGCAGGAACGCATCTTGGACGAGTTGGAAGGGCTTGTTGAATATTCAAGACGCTTCGCGTCGACAGCCGCCCACACCGCGCACGAACAGCCGAAGTTAGTGAAATGGAAGTAGCCATCTAGGCGCCAGGTTGGGGACAAGTGCAGCCATCTAGGCGCCAGGTTGGCTGTCTTACAGCTGCGTTGGAGCCATCTTGGGGCCAACTTCGTCTACCTTGGGGCCCATAATGGCGATACAACTGCGGCGTTGCCATAAGCCATCCAAAAATACACCTCCAAAACGCTCTCCCCAGTGGCCCTGCCGCCGAGCAAGAATCAACGCAGCAACCACCCCAAAACACAAAAGCTCCTCCAAAACGCTCTCCCTAGTGGCCCTGCAAGCGCGACGTAACGAAAGATCATCCAAAAATATACCTCCAGAACGCTCTTCCTAGCGCCGGCCGCTCCGCAATTGTTTTGCGGCTTCAAAAGAGTCTGCTGTGCGTTTGGTCAGGTTGCGGAGAAGGGTGAGGGCGTGGTGTTTGGTAGAAGTGAAAAGATGGGTTCTCATGTGGTTTGTTGGTGTCGCTTGAGCCGGCGGGAGAGACGTTTGTGTGTGGCCAACCGCGAGAAGAAGTGTGCTCGGTGTTTGGTGAATTGCGAAGCTTGGGCCTTGAAGGTGGTGGGAAATGAAAGGCCAGTTCAGGGGCGGCATCCAGTTGGAGATGTGGTTGTGTTCATGTATCCAGGCTTGATCGTACATGTCATGGGAGGAAAGCTGGATAGTGGTGTACTGATCGATGGTGCTGTGAGTATGCCCGTAGCGAAGGGAGAGTTCGGCTGAAATAGGGATGTTTTGTTGAAGTTGCTTGAGTTTGGCACGTCGATTGTGTTCTCTGTGTGGAACGCCAATGGCAAATACAACTTGACATAAACAGAGTTGGAGGAGAGGAAGTTGTGATAGTGGTATGTGTGGGGCAAGACGTGGAGTTGGCGAAAGCGCTTTCGCCACTGTTCAGAACGGTGTGTGTGCGTGGTGGAAGGATAGGTGAAGAGGAGAGTAAGGTGTATAAGGCCTGTGGCAAAGATGGCCTCGGCTCGTTCGATGTAGGTGGCGCGGTGGATGAGAGTGGAAAGGGCTCGGTGGAGCCGAAACAAGTGTTGCATGTTAGCGGGGTGGGGCGGCTGCTGGCCGTTGTGGCTCAGTCAACAGGCAAGTGCAGCCCCCACACTGACGAGGTTCTGGAGGGACTTCAGCGGGCATTTGTTGAGTTTGTTGAGTGGAAGTCCATATCGAGTGCCCGCTTCACGCGGTTGGAGCGTGATCGGCTCCGGGAGTGAAGGGTAAGAATAGGAGGTGGATGGTGCCCGGTGGGAGGTCGATTTGGTGTGCGCGTGATGGGAGTGCCTGTCTGAGTGGCCTCTCCAGTGGTGTCTGTGGTGACCGCGATGTCGATGATGGCGTCGCCTGCTGTGAGGGGCATGAGGCGTGGTCGGTGTGGCCGAGGCAGTGGCCGTGGTAAGGTGAGGTTGTTGAGAAGTTTTGACTTGTGTTGCGGTGGGAATCAGTGTGAGTGGGAGCTGGGGTCGTCGGGTGAGGGTGATCCTTAGAGGCGGTGGCGTCAGGAGTGGAAGCATGAGCGGTTCTGTGCTGAGCTCGAGGTTGGTGGGTTGGCTGAGGTCCGCGGCAGAAGATCCGACGGCCAGGGCGGTGGCTGGTGGTTGAGACTGTTGTACTGCAGGGAAAGCTGAGAAGGGATGTGGTTTCCATACGCCTTGGTGTGGGTCCCAAGTAAGTGTGGTAGGTTGTTGGTAGCGGTAGGCGTTGCTGGAGATGTTGGTGTTTGTGGTGGAGCAGTGGCGGACGGTTGTGATAAAGGTGGCTGAGGAACAAGTGGCGCTGCAGTAGGAAAGCTGTACGAAACTGGAAATGTTGGCGTTGGATGTGGGAGCGTAGGAGGAAAAGTCGTTGGTGGCGGTGGAGGCCAAGTGGTCTGTGGAACAGGGTGGCAGGGTGGTGGTTGCTGTGGGTAGGAATAGGTAGTGCCTGAGGTTGAGGTTGTGGTGGGTATGGATATGGCCAGGGATATTGCGTGCTGCTGATCGTGCAACTCACTGTTGTCTTCGGCAGCGGCTCCAGCGGCGGCGGCGGCGCAAGATGCAGCGCGCGGCAGAAATTGGCTGGAGAAAAACAGATTGAAATGGTTGGTGGGGAAGTAAGTTGAAAAGGTTCGTGTATGAATTGTGACTAAAATCGTGTCAAGCTGTGAAATTGGTAGTAAAGTCGGAAGTCAAAACTTCGAGAAAGCTGGCGCGTGATGGAACTTGCACTTGATCAATGAAAAGCTGTGAGAAAGTTACCGTGGCTCGGCAGCATATGAGTCAGGAAATTCATTGGGTGAGACAAGGGAATCCAGGACCATAATCCAACGAGTGCAGAATAACGCCGAATCAAAATGTGATTCACGAAGGTTTCGGCGCTCCCTTGCGGGAGATCACACCCTGCACCCAAGTGGGACGGCAGAGCAGCACACACTTAGACAATGGGTTTGCAGTTAACTCTGTTCCTCAGTGAAATGAACGATGGAACCGCAAGGTGGTGGAGTCAGTTCACTTGGATAGTTTAACAAAGTGTTCACTTGTCTGCAGACGCGCGGCAGCGGAAAAGCGGCTGACGGAAAATGGTTTGGGGGAGGCATCGTGAAAGAGCCATGAATCAAACCAAGGAAAGTGGAGTCACAGCTTGTACAAAAGTTTGTCGCATGTACACACAGTTGATCAGACTGTGCATCCACCGAGCAAGCATAGCTTTGTTAGCCAGCGTTTGCTTGTCGGCCGGTGGCCCCCTGCACCTGTTCAAAAGGAAAGGAACTCTTGGAAACAGAGGGTGACACACACACACAAACACACCGTTTTTGATACCCAACCGTGCTGCGTGCATATTTTTTATACACAACATAACATAACATTTTGCTCCACACCTGTATTGCGAGGGGTTTGTCACAGACTTGCTCCCGACACTTGATCGGATGCCCCAACCCTATTTGATCCACCTGTTTGGATCGGATATGGTGCGGAAATTGTTCATTGTTCTTCTGTTTCACATTTGACTCCGCAGCCTGGCACACAGCCAGCCCGTGCAGTTTTACTTCGAAACTCTGCAGCATGCCGCCTTTCTCCACAGAAGAGGAGCTGGAGTGCAATGATTGCTCTTTGTCGTTCATGTATGTCAATTTCTGTTTTGGAGACTTCTGAGATTCTTGCTTGTATTTTTCTTCGCACTTACGTTTGCCCGTTCATCGTGCCCTGACTGACTGCATGTTGCCTGCTTTGCTGCTTGTCACTTCTTGTCTTAGAGGCCAAGAAACTTGCTCCATTCCTGACGTCGCCGCCTGAGAACTCCACAAACATGTCACAAACAAACATTGCGCTTACATTGTACTTTTCTGCAATCTGAAGCTTGAGCACTGCTAGGTCAGGGTCACAATTTCGAAGAGTGAGAGAAAAGGAGGCCGCTGAGCCTAGCCGCCTAGCCCAAGTAGCGAGTGATCCAACTGATATGATTTGCAGGTGAATGAGTGCCACGATGCTTTGCATACTTGGCTGAGTGCCTTCTACACGTACTCAAGTGTCTCTGACCAGGCCCGACCATCTTATTGGAGAGTTCAGTTCGGTCCACCATCGTGCGCGATTGGACACCTAGGAGGACTCTGTAGGCGTCTCTAGGAGCGCGACCTGTTGTCCTCCCAAGTATTACACAGGAGCAACCGCGACCGGGACCGATCTGTGTAAAACGGTGACAGAGACAACAGCGGTTAGAACGGTCGTGCGATGACGTCCCGCGAGAAGGCACCACTTCGCCGGTAAATGGGCACAGTTTGACCATACGGGCGGCAAGGCTTCAACAGGATTCAGCAGAGTTCAAGACCTAATAGCAGCTAATGAGACAATGGAATGAGCCTCCAGCGTTGAGATCGCACTGCAAGAGCACAAAGAGCACAGTAAACAGTAAACATATACTGTACGTGGTAAGAACTTTCTCGATTGTAGGAGGGCAACCTTTGCACACTGCGCGGGCCTGTCCAACAAATGATGCCTTTTTGCCACCTTGGCAAGACTTTGTCGCAGGGGAGCCCTGCAAGTGTGAATTCCACTTTGAGACATGCGACATGTTCCAGACTCGCTTGAATTCAAAGCCCAAGCTGAGGAATTAGCTTTAACACGACTGACTGCTTTAAAACGAAGCATTAGCCCAATCGAAAGAGCTTTGTTTGAATGTCAGCACGCAACAGCCCGCTAATCAAAATGTCGTGTTGATTTAATGAAACCAAACAACACTGTGGCAAGTGATACCACGCAACGGAACCTTTTCGATCTCGTGCTTCCTCGTGAAACTTGACGAAAGAACGCTCTGAGTCGCAGGTTGCAGTCACTTTGCACCAACTGGAAGGACAGGAATTGTGACTCAGCTCAATTGAGCTCTTGGTTTTGTTTTGTTGCAAGTTTCTTTTTGTCAAGGCTGTTGCACCGCTTGAACAACCAGGCTTGGACTCCTTAGAGTTTCTTCCAAGATGTTGACATGGCTTCAGGATTTGCAGAGTGTGCAGCTCCAAGATAGTTAAGAAATCAGGTTTTTGTGTACTGATCTGCACTTTAGGTGCCCAATACAGGACAAGAGTGAAGCAGAGATGCATGCAGATCTAATTTTGTTGCCTTTGCATTGCAAGGAGGGCATTTGGCAGATTCAGTGCCTTGTGGTGCAGCCCGGCTGAAGAGACACGAATGGTATAGCGGTATAGCTCAAACTCGAAAGACACAACGGTTTAAGGTTTTTGGACTCAACATGAATGTCTTTTCTTTCAAGCACACCAAAGAATAGCAAAGGTGTCAAAAAAGGAAGAGAAGGCACCCTTTAATCAAAGCGATTCATTAAAAACAACAGCAATATGTGTTTTCTTCTTGTATTTTCAAAACTCTCATGTTTCAATTTGCCTTTTGGGTCAAAGAGTTTCTGGCAGTTTGAGAAATCTGCTTTGAGGTTGCACTCCGCTCAGCCAATTCAGCCACAGGCACTTTTTAGATGGGCGGCATCAGTTGCAATGTAGAGTTATTTTGAGCACCTTGGTGCTTGCAAGGGGTGGCTAAGAATCAGCCTGCAAGAGCCGCTGCGCCTCACCCTGAGATTACACTTAGAACTAGAATCTAGGAAACATTAGGAAACTAAGTCTTGTGAGTCGCAGATTCTTCCCAGGTCACCATTGAGCCGGTCTCGACGTGCTTTGCAGGTAGGCAGACTTCTTGTTTGTGCGACTACGGTGTCTGAATCACTCTTCTCCAAAGCTCAGGGAATCACAGCAACACCTGGCACAAGGCAAGTCCGGGAGTTTGATCCAAGGACACTTCCTCGCATTACATACGGTGTTGAGCTTCACAAGTGAAAGTAATTAATTCACATGAGCCGACATGTCGAAATTGTCTCGACTCGGAACAATTTTTGGCAAAGTTTTACTGAGGCAGGATATTACAAGGCCATTCATCCTGCCAGTTTCAGTGTTTCAGTGTTTGGCCAGAGACCTGCCAGAACTCCACTGCGGAAACTCAAGAGCTCCTTGCATGTTTGTTGCTCAGAGTGCTTTGCTTGGATGCGCGCCTTGTGCTGGCGTGGGTCCGGTGGCCTTGGTCTTCGGCCTGGCGGCGCAGTGACATGTGCTGTAAGCATTGGTGCTGTGCACTTCGTCCCTTGGACTCTGCGAAGCCAAGTACTTCCTTGCGTTCGATCCTTATCATTGTTGGGTTTTAGCCTTGGTCAACGCTGTGAAAGTTGTGAGTCTTGGCACAGAGAGAGAGAGAGAGAGATCCTCCACATTCAAGAACAAATGTGATGGCACTTTGAAGCCTTTGTGACAGGGAATAGTCAGAAAAATCCAATTCGATTTGCATGGGAAGGGAACATCTTTTCGAACATTTTGGCCAGTGATGAACAGAGGCAATGAAACAACTTCAGCTTGATGCCCCTCTTTCCCTGCGATGCGTCTTGAACTGGTCTAACTGATTCACTGATCAGTCAGGGACTGTTCAGATGGTCCCTTTGCACAAGTCTCCCTTTTTCTCGATCAGAAGCTGAGCTTGCACAGAAATCCTTGCCCCTGAGCTTCATCGCCATCGCGATGAAGAGTTCATTTCCTGCAGACCCATGACCTCGCATTGTCAACTTTTTCTCGGGCTGCTTTTCTTTGCACCCTTTCGAGATCCCTGCTCGTGAAAGGCAAAAGCCAACCACATGTTTTGTGGATATTTCCTGCATGTTGAGCCAGCCCCGCTCCTTCTACTGTACTACAAGATTGTGGAGGGAAAGAGTGCTTCGGCAGGGCAGGTAAGGTGTACTTACCGGACCAGGCTGAAGCACCGGATGGTGGCAGCTCTTGCGCTTTGCAACTGGCTCGTCGACAGTGCCGACTTTGGTTGACTTTGATATCAGCTTTTGCACATTCATCGATGCCCGTTGTGTTCTTCCTAAACAGTGTGGTCACACTAGGGTTGTCAGGGGTTTTTAGTTCTTCTGAATAATTGTTAAGGCTGGGTTTGATCGAGGGTGCTCACATCCGTGCGCGGCTGCTTTGCTGCTATTTACGCTACATTCATGCCTCTCGAGATCTTCGCGATTGCGCTCTCATTGCGGTGCCGTGCGCATTATTTTCGGCTTGGTGGTCAGTGGTCTTATTGTGGCAGACGCAAGGGACACCGCGTGCTTTGCAAAGTCGACTTTTCGTGGCAGGTGCAAGAGATCGGAGCGGTTCTTCTTCGATGGACAAATTTCGTGGCAGGCGCAGCGCTTTGGACTTGGTGGTGGTTTTGGTACGTGCTTACTGCGTGGCGCAGGGAATCGTGAACTTTGGACATGTCGCTTGTTTATTGAATTTCGGAGACGAATTGCACGAAAGCTTCGCGAATCTCAAACTTGTCTTTGGAAGTGCTCTTGTTGGGAAATGCGCTGGCTGAGCGATGTGCAGATTGGATGTGTAGATTTTGTGGGAGGCGCAACGCTTTGTGAACTTGGAAGTGCAGAGTCCACGTGAGGCGCAGTGCGTTGTGAATTGGCTGGGGCAGTGCTTTGTGAACCTCGAAGTGCAGATGTCGTGGTAGGTGCAGCGCTTTATGAACCTCGAAGAACAGATTTTGTATGATTTTGAGGCGGATGCAACGTCTTGTAATTGGAAGCCTGGAAGTGCAGGTTCCGCGGCAAGCGCAGCGCTTTTTGTGAACCTCGAAATTTTCTGCGAGGACCCGCTAGCCCATGCCGCAAGGCATTTGCACGCTCTGGCATTATCCATCTAAACCCTGATCGTTCCCCCCTCCCCACAAACCATGCCAGGTATGACGACGTGGAAAGAACTTGGGATGTTGCGCATTGTTGTGCATTCTCAAAGCCCAATGGTTAGTTCATACACAATCCGATTTTCAACGCACGTCCTTTGGTTTCGGCAAGTAGTCCTGTCATTTGTGTGTAGAGCACTTGCATTTTGCTGAGGTTCAATATCTCAGGTGTGTTTTTGATTGAGAAGAGTTCATTCGTATAAATTTTCTGGCTTTGCCACCCAGGTGTTTTGAACACCGCTTTCAAGACGTGTTTTGAAATTCTGCACAGATCTGAAACGTTAAAGGCAAAGGTTCCAAATTAAAGCGACCACGGCTGGGAGGTCTGGCAGAGCTCGGCCTGTCGAATGCTCAATTTATTTTCTGCAACGTCTCTTATATATTCTTCGCTTCCCCAAGGAAAATGAGGTGCTTCGGTCTTCAGTCGTCGACCAATGCCTTGAGTTCTTTTTGTATGCCATGCTCCTCATTATTCATATTGGTGTCGTATTTATGCGCACACTAAACACAACATTTCTGTGTATTTTGAGATTAGCGTTCACAACCGACATTGTTGTTTCGGAATAGATGTAAGGGTGGGAATTCGTTTCATCTTGCACTGAGAGCTGGCAGAAGGATGTGAAACTTGTCTTGAACCAGTGGCCTCTGATTGGTTTTGCTTGCTAACAGGGTATAGCCAGCCGCTCACAATCCCCAGCCATGTACTCAGGGAACGAATGTGCCACATACATCTCGAGTACGTCACTCTGCAAGTCCATCTCCGTGCAAACAGGCCCAAGCTGCTTGCAATCAAGGACGAGTTCGTGCTTGCCTTTGCGGATATCATTTTGATTCCTCGTTACTTAACGGTTTCAACCCGTGATCAGGTGTTTCACAACCCGTTGGATCTGTGGCGTTTGGAAGTTCTAGCGTACCTCGGTAGGAAGGGCGAGGGGCACATTTTATAACCAGGCGAAAGCTGGACAAGCCGAGGTTTCAAGAGTCATTCCGACATCAATTGGACGCACTGGTGCTGCCACGCCCTCAGGGCCCTGGTAGAAGGATGTAGTTATAGTCATAGTTACGGTTTTCTTTGCCCAATTCAAAGCAACAAAGCAACTCAAACCGCCCTCGCACTTTCATGCCTGCTACGCTCGGGCCTGCCTGGTCAACACGTTTGTTATTCGCGCGCAACTTGGCTGAGAGAATGTTAAGTCTTCCAGGTCTACTTTTGCAACATCCTTCACCCGATCAAAATTTGTCCAGTAAACAGAACAGCATTAAGATGTAATGGCAAGACCTGATTAATAAATCGCCCCCCCCAACATGGTAGGTCCTGGTAGGTCAACAAGGTCAAGAAGTATATGAGATACCACTCATGAGGTCCACCTCCCCTGAATAATGTGTTATGAGACCATAGGACCATGAAGGATGATACCACGCTTTGAGGGGATGAGCTGATGAGCATGAGGCCAGAGTCCATATAGGAAGCAATGAGTTGGGTGGGCTCGGATTATGGATTAACTGGGGAGGGTTCTGGTACCCAACTAGACCATTAGAGGGGGAATAAGCCACCAATACTACTTTTAATTTGGGCAATTTTTGGTGGTTTTGTGGGCTCGGATTAACTATGGGAGGTTTATTAATCGTGACTTTACATTATTTCTCAGGCCAAATCAATACAGTATCCAAACACATTGTAGTATGTTGTATCTAACCTTCTTCAAATCTGATTTGCTGCCATTCTAATTCAAAGCTTGGCAAGCAAATCCTGCTGTTGTTCTTCCACACACACACACAATTTTCGTTGGTGGAATCTTCTCGTCAAAAACTTGGTCAACAAGGCGCCTGATTTCAAAGTTGTAATTATAGGAAACCGATGCCTGTATGGGACAGTGGAAGCAATTTTTTGATCTGGAAGACTTTGTTTGGAAGACATTGTACTGGCGTACTTCGAAGCTCGGACAGCAGTGACTCAGCAGCGGGCAGTTGGTTCTCAAAAGCCACGCGAAGCTGTTTCTAGGTGTTGTGCGTGTTGTGCCACAGGCCACTTGGGCACAAACCTTGCCAGTGGAACCGAGCCTTTTTTCTTGGCCTTAAGTAGGATGATTGTGGATAAAAATCAAGTTCATCCGTGAACTTTTTCAACGTCTTAAGGTTGAGAAGCGTGACATACCCAGCTGCAGCTTGGCTTTGAAGCACGCAAAACTTCAAGTACCAGCTGCTTGCAACTGCTGAAATTTGAGACAATTAGCAGCCCACTGTCCCAACAACACAAACACAATGCTGTCGCTGGAACTTTGCTCGAGAAGGACCCAAAAGTGCAGCAAACACTCTCACGACTACTGGCATCCTCCTCTTCAAGGTGTTTCCGTGAGTTCTGACAGATTACCCATATATAGAAGGAAAGACTCTGGTCTCAGTACAGCTCCAACAGAACATACCCAAGACACCACCAAACGCACTCATTGCAACGTGAAAAGAATCTCTCCCCCTGGGTATGCATGAGTAGGTTCAGGCCTGATGTTGCGGAATTACGTGAGTGCGTTCGCTACTTACCAAGGCATTCTATGCCAGCCACAGCAGGGTGGAAAAGGAAGCCATAAAATTCGAACCAGCAAACCGTGCGATAACCAATCTAGTAGAAGCGGCTTTGAATTTTAGGAGTTTGGCTAAAACTTGCAAGACGTGATAGCACACCTCAAAAGCGATAACCATGTCGCCGCAGTTTTTGGATATGTTCAGCTATGTTGAAATTGTCGCTAGGCCTGGAAAAGCGATAGGTCTCCTCAAAAACGATAGCCTTGCTGAATCATGTCCTCTTCTTGACAGGACGTTTGGGTAGACGCTCAAACGTGCTTGTGGGAGTCGGTTGGTTGCCCAAGGTTGGATGGCAGGATATGAGAAACTCCCACTTGCAGTCACTAGCGCTTGCTTCGCAATTTGTTTGCTGTGAAATCTAGGGTAATATGCATACTTATTTTCAAGATTATTTCAGCTGCTCAAGCAACTACAGTAACAGCTACCTCCGCTGAGACCTGCCTAGCATGAGACGAAAAAAGCATGGCTTTGACATCGATTTGTTTTGACAAACGAAGTCCCAGGATGACGGTTGAGAATTCGGTCAAAACAGAACCGAAATAAAGAGAAACAAAGGAGGTTTTGCCCTCACTTGTCAGTACTTTGCTCCCCTCGATCTCCCTTGGCCTAGCCTTGTCTCCCTTCATCTCTTCTAAACATTGCACAGATGACAGGTCCCTGTAACTACAGCCTTGCAGCCCTTCCTTGACAACACACCACACCAAGCTCTTAGCGTTCTCAACACTAGCTTTCATTCCGTGGCATGCTTTCTTGGTCATGTCAAAGCCATCCTTTTGCCGATATGCACCGTTCTACAGGGGCGCCAGAGAGCAGACACGGCGCCTGCAGAGCTCTGAGAGGTTACAGTTGTGGGGAATGATGATGTGACGACTGTCAACATTTCCGAGTGACATTGAGTGACAATTTATGACCATTTGAGATCCAGGTACATGGTGAAGGCGCATCTCTCATATTGTGTTCATGTGTATGAGAACAGTTTTTTCTTGAGTTGACACGTTAAGTGTTTGTTTCTTTTCAGGACTTGGAAGGGTTCATTCAGAAAAGACTCTGACAAAGAGTCCAAGAACAGCGGGGAGGCACTTTGGCTGGACCAGCATCAAGTGTATAGTTGCGGCCCATATTCAAAACCACAACGAGGAGAGACAGCCGTTCACCCTCTCCCGGAGGCAGTTGGGCTATTCAGTTGCTATTTTCTCAAAACTGTTTGCATTGTTTGTTTTTGTGTTTTGGTTTTGCCAATCGTGCCAAGCACTCATTTCAAAAGGCAGAGCATCGCCATTGGCTCCTTTGCGAACTGCCTCTAGGCGCTTTGTGTGCGCCAAAGAATCGGAATTACTTTGTCCAAAGCCATACTGTAATATTTTTGTTTGATCCTTGTTGTTGCAGTTCTTGAGGCTTTCAGGACCGTGCTTCTCTGAGCAAAGAGTCCATACGAGTCAGTTGACGCACAGACATGATTACAAAGATCACCAAGTCGCCAACTGAGGTCTTTCAGAGGCCATCGAGATGGAAGACCTATCTCACCATCCGAGGCGCTTGATGGTACACAAGCTCTTCAGAATATTTCTTGAGGTTCGGGTCAAGTCGAGTGAGCTAGATGGTCAAGGAGTCAAGAAGGCATTCCGCACGATGAAGATAAGTCAACAGCAATCCAAGAAATGCAAACTCCTGATAATGGTCTAATTGAGGCACAACCAGTCGGGCGCACTTGAACAGCTGTTGGATGTCCAAGTTTGAGAAGCATCCTTCTTCTGTGGCTTCTCTCATATGCAAGTATTTTTTACAAATTGTTTTTAGTTGGAACTGAGTTTAGCTGAACATCGACTGGCAGTACATTAATGCAAATGCCGCTCAGACTCAGGTACACTTGCTCCAATTGTTGTTGAGCCCAATCTGCTGCTTCATGTTTTGCATCATAAAGACTTCTGTGAGCGGGAACCATTTCTTCCCTTCCCCTTCCATGCACGTGCTATTGCTCTCGCCATCTATTTACTGTATCCGCAAAATGTATTTGTTTTTTTCCCTTGATGTCCGTAACAGTAGATTGCATAGCTTCTTGCAGGTAGTTATCTTCTCCAGTTTGTCAAACAAACTTTAGATATTTGTGCAAATTTCATATCAGCCACTAATAACATGCCAGTCGCTGCAAAGCTTGAGTTCCACAAAGATACGATTTCTTAGAGACTCAACTTGTCCCTTGGAAAAGATCTCGGACTCCAAACTAATCGCAATACACAATCGGCCACACTTACGCTCGTCTCACCACCCTCGAATTATTAAAGCGAATGACGCTCCACCAGAAGGTCTTCCATCAGTCATGTCAAGAGCAGATCCCCCTTACATAGCCCAGAGCATCGAGCTGTACAGTAGCGCCGTAAATGAAGTGCCAACAACAAAGCTGAAAACATATGAAAAAATGCATTCACGGGTCCTTTGGGTGTGGACACACTGGCTCTGAACGCCGTTGCTCACAATGGGCACCCAGAAGTGTTGAACATTTGAAGGCAGCTATCCCTACTGCACAAAGGATGGCAATGAGCTCAGCCTTCCTGATGTGATGTTTTGATAATTGATGATCATTGCGTTTTCTGAATGATTGATTCGAGGATCATGATTGATTTTGCAGGTCAGTGCACCCACTGAACTTGCTTCCAGATCTGTGGCCAGATCGACGAAGGCGGCAGACAAGAGTGATTCCAATATCATTCAACAGTTTCATCGCCATGCATGTCAGGGACCAGCGACATCCGCAAGGGTCAACAGTAATCGGCATTCTGCCACGGCACCAGTAGGAGCCTGCAGAGACAGATCTTATAAACTTTTCTATTTTTCCCCAAATGTGCAGCGAAGGGTTCCCATTTAAGAGGGTAGAGCTGTGTTCGCGTGACGTTGCTGATGTGTTCGATACATTTTGCAACCGTCGTCAACTGTCGTTATGATTCGCGTAGGTCTTGGATGGGCCATTCTTTTGGATGGATGGACGATGTGTGATGTTCGTGTGAAATAACGCGTGCCTGCAAACATGACTTCTGCAAGCTAGACATGTTTGTTTATTGCACAGGCGCAGCATGACGCAGGGCTTTGTGAGGTCGGCAGATTGCGTTGCTGTGCCCTTGGGATTTTGCTCTTGAAAGGTTTCCCTGGAGGCCTGGAGGCTGTGTTTTCGTGACGTGTCTCAGCTCAAACTTGCGAAGTGATCCGTGTGAAGCTTTCACGCTTTCGTGCTTTTTCACGCCTTTCATGCCGCCCAGGGTCAGACAACATGCGGGCCCAAGTTCCTAAGTTCACATGTGGCGAAACGGAGAAGCGTGCTATCTGGCTGCATGCATGGTTTGCACTGACATGTCCATGTCACACTCTAGAGTTGCCGGTTGCCATCATATTCTGCACACTCAGGGGGGGTGCTCTAAAAGGCAGTGGTCTGGGCATGAAGCATCAAGCGGGAGGAAAACTAAAAATGGCGCGGAAAGGTGTGGCAACACTTTGTCGAAGCATGCCCTGACAGCTTCCAAATCACACCTCCCAGCATGACTATGCCAAGAGCTGTCTGATGACCCTGATGGTGGCTTTAGTCTTGGGGATCAGTGTGTTTCCTTTGAGCATCAAGGCTCATGGCAGGACAAGGTAACCAGACCACTATCACCCAGCCTAATCGAATGCGTGTTGAGGCTTTTCCATCAGTGGGGGACAAGCCGTCCAGCACGCGACGGGGAACTTGCTTGGCGCCAGCAAGTGTATTGTTGGAGACGGCTGTGCATCAGGGTTCCGCTTTTTGGTCCAGCCCACTGCCACAGGGACAACGGCCGCAGACTGGATGCTGCCTACCTACTTGAAATCTCCATCGGCACTCAAGTCCTGTATACTTCAAGTTGCGCCCCCCAAACCTGTCACTGGAATATGCGCGTGATGAGTGAGGGCATGCAAGCGGCAATGACAACGCACGACAGTGGCTATCCGCAATGTCAGATTCTGCGACAGTTCAGAGTTAAAGCCTCCTGGTGATGGCCGCCCACCGCGCACACACTTAGAGAGTTGCTCGCAAGAGCTAAGTTCAGAGTGAAGTTCCACGTTGAACTCATCAGCGCTTGACTTGAAAGAACCGAAAAATGCCGAACCGAAAGATGAAGAGGTCCGCCAAGTTGAAGATGTTCAACAATTTTTCTTTGATTGCCTAGTGCAGAACGCTGCCGTGGACATCTTGATAAAAATTGAAGAAGCAGGTACGTTCCCAAGGCGTCCCTCGGGAATATCGCAGCACGATAACACGATGGAAGGGTCTTCGTTGGGCAATGCCTTCCAAAGTGTTCATTGCCGCCCTGCTGAATCCCTTGCTTGCAAGCCAATAGCAATACCAGGAGCCCTTAGTAGCGTCCTTACTCCTTGTAGTACGGCCAGGAGCCTGCAGTGGTACCGTCGTTTTGTTTAGTAGCGATGCCAGGAGCCCCCAGTAGCGTTCTTTGCGTCTCAAAACCTTAGGCGCAGGTGTGGACGCACACACAAAGCCGTTTCAATATACCACTCATCATACACCACTCATCATACACATTACACCACTCATCATACACCACTCATCACACACCACTCATCATACACCACTCATCATACACCACTCATCATACACC